TTTGCGTGTAAAGATAACATCGAAATGTCACACCTCTAGAGAGAGCAGGTCTTCAACATCCAAATTTGATCACAAATATTTATTAACGATTACACGATCCAACAATGAATTTTCCACCAAACAGATTTCACTCCAAGGGCAATAAATTCACGATGAAACTAGATGTCTAATTCAGCAAAAAGAACCCTGCTATCTCATATTAGAAGCTTATCTCATAATAGGGGATTTTCCTCTACTTAAATCGTGTACTATCAGCGATTTCCGCCGTGAGATAACTTCTGTTTAGCGAGTAACAACTTGGCACCGCCAAGTCCACCTCGTACCGTCGCTACGACTGGAAGCTGGATTTTTTTTTCTATAAACCTGGCTCTCCAGCTACAAATCAGTTTCACGTGACTCGCGCGGTCGGACCGGCGACACACTCGTGCGGAAACAATGCCGCTAATGGAGAAAAATCGCCCAGGTGTGATAACGCGGTGCCTTCGTATCCGCTAATGTGCTACACGATGTGCTACAACTACCCGCGCAATTAAGCGAAACATGTCGTCGGGACGCTGAAAAAGGGAAGCAAACGGCTGTTGTCATTAAAGAATCCTTTTTCCAGTTACGCGTAACTAAATGTGATGCGAAAAATTAATATATCGTAGTATGTAGGCCATCCCACCTGGTATAGAACTTGGATCTGTCTCCATAAAGCATTGACCACAACCGTTGCGCCCAGCTGCCTCAGCTACGTTTTTTACAACTGACTAATCCTGTCCGCCTCAATCGCTCTACACTGTATAATTACTGACAATTACGTACCAGACGAAATAACTATTTAATTTTAACTCTCCGCTGATGAAAGCATCGTGTGCCGAAACGCGTCCGCTGCTTTATATTTCAACCGTAACATCTTTGAAATTTAAAGTATATATTGCTTTGTCAACTTTCGTGCTCGTTAAGATTGGCCTCACTTGTTTACTTGTTGTTTTAATATATCGTACACGCTAACAATAAGTGTGGGGGAGGGGGGTGAGAACGAGACAAAATGGCTTAATTGCGCGACAACGCGATACGAGTTTTCGAGCGCAGGCCGCGCTACGAAGGGAAGGACCAGAAGAATTGACGGACGTTCGATCTCCTTCGGTGATCTAACTGGACTAACAAGTGCGCCGTAGCGATTCCGCCGGGATCTCACGATTGACCTGATTTTCCGCAAGATTAATTCGCGTGATTCACTTTCGGAATCGTGTCTAGCCTCACGGCGCTTTATTTTTCCGCCCGTCCTGCCCCGTCAGCGTGTAGATATGCGACGGTCCCTATAACTAGGGGAGGGAAGGACGACGACGAGGGATTCGACGTGGCCGAGGGATCTCCGGGATCCTTCGAATTGGAGGGAATCGGGAGACTGTGAAATTTTCATTCGCGCTGGTAGCAACGCCGGAATGTCGCCGCTGACCGCTCGCTGGGAATTCACTCGTGCCCCCGCCGCCTAATAACTCGAGTAGAAGAGGGATGCTTCTCTGCAGATACGACTGTAACAAGGAATAATTGAATTAGAAGGACAAATGGTCTCCTCCTTTCGCCTACAGATATTTCGTCGGCGCTTCCACGGCGTCGCCGCGCAAAAATATTTTACAATCCCGCGCGCATCCTCGCCGTGGACAATACGATATGCGTTTTCTTCCTTTTCTTTTCCTTTTTACACTCGCTCCTCCAGATTACCTCCATTGAACCATTACGATCGCGCGCCGCGCGCCCGTGAAAAATGGGAGGAAGAAAGAGAAAAAGATACGACATTTAATTAATACGCGGGACACACGTAAATTTTATTCCGTCGAGGGTCGAAGCGCAAAAACGAAACGCGGGGGAGTGGAGTTAATTAATTATTCCCTTATTACGCTACACCGGGACTGGGTGGGCGCGCGGGGAGCGCGGAAAGAGAACGAGACTGCAGTCGTCTCATTTCTGACTACCTAGCGAAAATTTCGCTAAAGTGCTGCTCATGTGGAAATGACATAATTCGCGTGCGGCAAGGGCAATTGGCAGTAATTAAAGTGGGGCGGCGAGAGAGGGGCGGCCGGAGGGTAGCGGGGCATGAATGAAATTAAGGCGGGTAGCGAAGATGACCGTTTACATGGGTCCACGTCTGCTCGACTACGCTCTCTGTGCCGCGACAATAAAACGAATTTGCATACGGGACAACTCGCCCCCGGACGAATGTCCCGTGTCTGCGTCTCTCGGGCGGAACATTTTCCTCGGACGGACGAACGGAGTCATCGGCGCGCCCGAAAAAGCTGAATTGCCGCGTATTAAGAATTTATTAACCGTCGTTCCCACCGAATCGCAAGTACCTGGACGGGGGGAGGGGGGGGAGGCGACGGAAGGGCGAAATTGCGCGGCTAAGGAGGCTATTAAAATATTCGTTTTGCGTACGTTGTGCCCGAGTAAAACCGGGGGGGGGGGAAGTGTCCCTGTCCTCGCGAGATTCAGCCGTTCGCCATNGTAATGTCCGCCGCGT